GACTCTTTCGCACCGGCGGGCCGTCGGCGATCTAGCTCTTTTCTATCGCTACACCAACGGGCTTTGCTCCTCAGAGCTCTCTTCCATGATGCCGCCACGCGATGTGCCTGCCAGACAGACCCGCCTGACTTCGGCGTCCCATCCTAACCGTGTCAAACTTCGTACATCCAGCACTGGCCGATACGACCGCTCCTTTGTCCCGAGGGTGTCTAGATTGTGGAACAAACTACGGGAGGAAGCTTTTCCCAGTTCTACTAACCTTAGGCAGTTCAAAAATCGTATTAACAAAATTTCTTTGGGATCATCATAGCAGCCGCGGTGTTCCGGCATTTAGGCTTCTGCCTGCGCGGCTGTTTCGATATAATAAAAAAAAAATAAAAAATGTTTGCAGGTTCAAATCTCCGCCTCGGAAGTTAACTCCGAGTCATCGATGTTATGATGTGGGTTGCTATCACACACTAGACTAGTACATGACCGACATAGGTACATCGCATTGTTGAAGCTGGTTTATTCGATAATCAGTTACCAGTAGGTGGCTTGTGGAGTTGAACAGTGGGGGTATTACTAAGTCGGCAGAAAGGGTCACAGGTCGCCTAGTTGCCAAGCTGCGCCTCTCAAAACCACCACTACTACTTCTACTACTAGGTCCATGTCTTTGCGTCAAGTTGAGTCCTAAGCTTCCTTTAGCTTCGACACAGCTTCTAGTACAATTTTCCATAAAGTGCAATTTCATCTATACATAGTGGCATCAAAAGGACGTAGGTTTTGTCAGAATTTTAGTCATCTAACAACTTAACGCTTTAACGTGTCTATTGTTTTAATGTCTGACTGTAACTAAATTAATTTAACTAGACTCTACTGGGTTATCCAAATTAAGTGTCCACCATTAGTAACTTTGTTATTAGAGAAAATACAAAGTTGTTTGAATTAGCAAACAGTAGCATTTTTAACGCTGGTAAAAATGAGAAATAAAAAAAAACAATTGAGAGTCGTTATTTTGATTTTTTTCAGTAAAATAAATTTTTTTTAAATGGAAACCCCTGTATATTATATTTTTTTCTGTTAAAGCATCAAATTTTAAACAAAAAAGTTCATAATGACTTTTCCGCTAAAGTCAAAAATAAAGTCAAAATAACGATAAATATTTTTAATTATTTGCAGTATTATAATATTAAGACGGCTATGAAAACAACATGGCGTTCGCGATTTGACAGCATTAAGATAAGCGACAAATTGTTAAACTGGACATACTCGCAACTAGAAGGCTTTGGAAAACAATGATAAAATCAAATAATGTCAAACATTAGTGTAAATACTTGTTTATAAGCTTTATTGTGTCATTAATTTAAAGAAAAATGATCTCCCATGAAGAAAAGTGTGATATGTTAGAATGCTATTTAGTGTGCAGAAAATCCTCCTTGAGAGCAAGAGAATACTACAGTGAATTATATCACCGCTCGCATTCAACCGTATGAACGATATTTTCTGAGACTTTATCGAAAATTTAGGTGCAACGAAAATGTTTTTGCTAAAACAAGGGCAAAAAAAGAATTCATAATAAGCGAGGCCACGGAAATTGCAGTTATTGGATATTTTGAAGCTTATCGTGAGAATTCAATAGCAGATATTCTCAAGGACTCTAATTTCAGTTATGGTACTGTTCAAAGGATTTTAAAAAAATACAAATTTATTCCGTATAAGTACCGACCAGTTCAAACGCTTTTGGCAGGGGATCCAGAGAGAAGACTTGTTTTTTGCCATTGGTATCTTAGCTTCTGTCGCCAAAATGTAAATAACTTTCGTTACCTTTTATGGACAGATGAATCAAATTTTTCAAATTCTGGAATGTTTAATAGAAAAAACCACCATTATTGGTCAAGAGAAAATCTTTTGTTAGTACATCCAAGAGGCCCACAAGCCCGTTTCAGTTTCAACGTTTAGTGCGGTATAATTGGTTCAAAAATTGTTGGCCCGTTCTTTTATGAGGGAACCCTAACTGGTGAAAGATATGTGGAATTTATGTCAGAAATTCTGACTAATTTCTTAGACGAATTGGATCTTATAAGTAGACATCATCTGCATTTTCAGCAAGATGGCGCACCTGCCCACAACTCCAGAGGTACTTATCATTTTCTAAGTACTACTTTTAATGATCAGTGGATAGGAACAAATGGCCCAATACAGTGGCCTCCCAGATCACCAGATCTAAACCCACTTGATTACTTCTTGTGGGGTTACTTAAAGAACCAAATTTACAAGCGAAGGTACGATAACCTTGACGCGTTAAAGACTGCAGTTAGGGAAAAGATAGATGGTAGGACCATACTTAAGACAGTTCGAGCAGTTGAAAAACGTGCCCAAAAATGTATTGAAGAACAAGGTGATGTTTTCGAGCATCTTCTTTAAAAAAAATTGTTATTGTATTTTGTAAGATTATAAGTTGATGTTGAAAATAAAGTTTGTCGATACAATTTAATTGTTTCAGATTGGAGGCCATAACTTCAACAATTTGTAACCTAGGAGAAAAGTTATTGTAAGCTTTTTTGTTTAAAATTTGATGCTTTAACAGAAAAAAATATAATATACAGGAGTTTCCATTTAAAAAAATGTTATTTTACTGAAAAAAATCAAAATAACGACTCTCAATTGTTTTTTTTATTTCTCATTTTTACCAGCGTTAAAAATGCTACTAGTTTGCTAATTCAAACAACTTTGTATTTTCACTAATAACAAAGTTACTAATGGTGGACACTTAATTTGGATAACCCTGTATACCGTCTTCACGTATCCGGTTATTGTATACTGAGTGACAAAGAAAGGTATACACTTACGTGTGTTTACTAGAATTCAAAAATTATTAAGATGGGTTAACTTACGTAGGTGTTTACCTTTTTTTGTCAATCAGTATATTATATTTTCGATATTTATGTTATTCTAGTACTATTACACTAGCACTAATTGGGCATTTTATGAAAAAAAATGCCTCAGCCTGTAACAATGGTCATGACGATGATTCGTAATATCTATTCGGGGACCTGGTGTAAATCTGAAACGTCAAAAATTCGGTTTGAGTGATTCTTATTTTTTTTTTCTCTGCAGCCCGAACCTGGAGTGAAAATTTCATCAAAACTCGAGCGGTACTTTCCAAGTGATAGACGGCCAAGGATTAGCGCAAAAACGGACAGACAGGCATACCGAAAGACCGGTAGACAGACATACTAACAGTGAGCACATGAGTATTCATCATGTACATATCAAATGAAATCCAAAAAACATAATTTCTTATAATTTTACATTTAAAGCATTATTTTATCAATATGTACGTACAAACGTTATAACCCTAAACAGTCGTCAATAATTTGAAAACAGCACTAGGCCTATTTTTGGCCTTATCAAGCACTGACGGTTATTTTGAGCCATTTTCAGGGGGACCTTGTCTGATATATAGAGTAACGTTAATCGGCAATTAAATAAAGCACATACATGTCACGTTGATGAAACATTCACTGATAAGGGAATAACGTGGCCAAGGTACGATAATGGCATTCCACATGTTTGCAGCGGGCATTCCAGGTCACACATGTTGGTGGGTTTGATAGCGAGTAGCTACTAGCATACCAATACAGCTTTAGAATTGGCTACAAAACCATTTATGAGTATGAAGATGGAAGATATACGTGTCTCAGGAACAGAAAACATAACTTGCCTAGGCATGGCTGTCCTCAGTTTTGGACGTTCAAACCATTTGTAGCGGAGTCGTAAAACCTCGCTTCGTAGTTTTTCTTATAGCTGCAGATATAGTTAGTTTCAGAAATCTTACTTAAAGGACATTTGCGGTTAAAAAGCTTTACGTCTTTTATAATTCAGTACCACTTCTGGACAGGTATGTATTAATCTCATTATCCCATTTGTAATACTTGATAAGCAAGTCCCTCTATACTCTACATTATGACATAATATTTTCATAATAAATATCGGAATGTTCGAGATCTTCATGAGAACCACCATGATCATGAAATCGTAACTGTTTCTTTGCAGCTAAATTTTGTTGTTAAGGCGATACGAATTAACCATAATTCTGAGCATTACTAGGTGTTAGCAATATAAAAACCATAGTTTTTATTACATAATCTCTTGGTACTAAGGACATTCCAATATAAATCGATAATTAACTGTCCAATAAAGGCTCATTGAAGAATTGTTCGACAAGTGATAATAAAGACCTCTTCAGGCACCGGTACAGTTACTTTAAGAAGCTTTCTTTTAATGGCCCGTGTCAGACATGTGATTTGGAGCTTTTAATCTCCGATTAGTTAAAGTGCCTCAATGTCATATTTATATCATCCTGTCAATATCTTTGGAACGGTTGTGGATGATACGATCTCAAGAGTCGCGTCGTAGGTAGTCTAACATTTATTACGGAATTATTTTCTTCTTGGGGTGCATAAGAAGTAAAAAGTTGTTGTATGAATGACATCCGACGTCAGAGATTTGATGTGTTAATACTCGATTTAGCCACTTGATGCTTCCTTGTCTTCAACACGCTCTTATTAGCTTGGCCTGTATTTTATGATCTGGGTGAATTTGTCACATTCCACAATGCTTCTGATAGATCTTAATAGATGATTTATTGCCATGTGTGTATCATGTTGTCGTTTTTATGTTCCTATTCTTTGTATAGTACTTCATTTTATCTATATTTTAATCTGTATACATCGACTTATCCAATGTCTGCAATGTAGATCGATCTCACCGGATCAATAAATGAATTTGCATCTAAATCTATGTATGTAGCGGAATCTTTGAGCATAATTTTCGCCAGATTCCAGAAGCTAGATCAATTCGAAACTTCGCACACGCATCAAGGACCGATGAGAATGCAACAATTTGATAACAGTTCTCCATTATCCTTATTTATTAGTAAAATTCTCTAAAAAGCAGATAATGTTAATAAAAAGCCATGGATTTCAAATGCCGCTTCACGAATACTGAAACTACAAACCTCTGTAGCTCAGTGGCAGAGCACTGCTCTTATAAGCCAGGGGTCTCGAGTTCAATCCTCACAGGAGGCGGAATGTGGTATATCTTTTTTTTTATTGTTTTTTTTTATTTTTTTAACACGCTTTTACTAGTCATTGATTATGATTGATTGTTCAACCATCTACTACTGTAGTATAAACTCTTTGAAATTAAAAATTATGTTCTGCATTTTAGTTAGGCTAGCTATAAAAGCGTGTTTTTTTAGTTTTTTCAAACTATTACTTATTAGAGATGAAATTTATTCTAGCCATTTAGTATAGAATTGCATTTCTTATTCTTTGCTCTTTCTTTTCGACTTTGATTACCGGCTGACGAATCTGACAAGGTGCAAACTGACTAAATATACCTTGATACAAAGCCAAAAGATCTACGGACCACCTTGGCAGATAATGACTAACTGACTTGGTTCTAATCTTGTTACGTTGATAGTCATTAAAGATTTACTTAATGGCCAAAACACTCTTTTTCTTTATAATGAACAAGATTCCTAAACTAAGCCAGGCAGACAGCTCATGAAACGTTTATGTACGTTTCCAATAACACGTGAAGCGTACAAATTAGACGCATAGTTTCACCCTAAAAAAATTAACCAGCGGCGACAGATTTATGTCTTACACGTGGCGTTCATTCTAAAAAAGGGATAGAAATAGATTTAAATGCGGGAGAAGATGATTTTCAAATTAGTTGTTACAATAAGAGATAAGTATATGTTTCGTAATAAAACAGCCACATTTGTTTTTAAATGTTGCCTGAATGCTAGGGTACCGCGGCTGCTCCTCAAGTAAATTGTTCCACAAGTTCGACACCCCAGGGACAAACGAGCGGTCACCTTGGCCAGTTCTGTATGTACGAAGTTTGACTCGGTTGGGATGAGAGGCTGAAGTCAGGCGACTCTGGCTTTCAGGTACATCGCGCGGCGGCATCATGGAGCAGAGCATGACGAGCAAAGTCCGTTGGCATTGCCTCTATGGACGGGATTCGTTCGTGCCAGGTCCTCGGCGATCTGGACTCCGACCAGCCAAAATAAATGGCTCTTTGATAGAACTCGACCATTCATCGTATCCAGACTTGTTATACAGCACTGTTTTCGGAAAGCATTAAATTGGACCAGACTGTTGCGTCCTCAAGAAGTAAAACCCTCCAGCTCTCTCTCAGAAACGAAGTCGCTGCTAGTCTTTTACAGCTCACCTGCTTGGCACTCTGAGTTCCTGTATGTGGGATGCTGTCATGAGTAAAGGAGTGGATCAGATCGATCGTATAGGAGAACAGGCTGTAATGGTATTTTGCTAGTCGAATCCTCAATCGTAGTAAACGCACTTATTTCCTCGTTATGCTTTTTCGCAATAAAAGCATATAATAGTTATCTGTTAGTGAGTAATGAAAGCTTGCCATATAGGTATAATTATTGAATGAAACTTATTGTCAATCTAATCTTTAGTTCAGTCCATGGTGGTACTCAAGAAGTTTTATTGTCAATTTAGTTAACGTTACTATGTTTTGAAATGTGTTAGTAGCCAATGCAATGAAAATACATTGTGCTAAAGACACATTTTCCCAGAAGCTTTGCATATTCAAGAATATCTAAAAAATATGTACCACTAGACAATGATGCTTCGGAAATAATGCTGGAAACTGGACCGAAGGTTTAGTCACTAGTCTTGTGAGTCCCGAGAACGTCTACACTCAGGCAATGGTCATTCACGGTTAAAAATATTCAATAACGTTTGTACCCTGGTAAACTTTGTCGAACAATGTAGGTACGGTGAAATAGACTCGTCATTCCTGGCCTGGCTTTATCGGACAAACTGATTGGCGATGTCGTTCGTCCACAAATAATTCTAACCCGACACATCGAGCCACAGGCATTTTAAGGTAAAAAGTAAGGATTTCCTACCATCAACATAAAACATGTAGAAGAGTCAACCTGCATGACATATTTTGGTCCTACAAGAGCAGGCACGATATATGGTCTACTGGCGCTATAAAGCTCGTGCCACCGCCATACTAGTAGAAACATACAGTTATCACGTTTCTGTACGCTTCTGGTTGAAGATGACGAGTGAGTTACCGTGCTTCAGTTCAAATACAAGCAAGTTCCCACTTTAGTGATGGGAGATCAGTGACAATAAACATATTAGTTACTTTGGTTTTCCTTTCTTCGATAAAATTTCCTAGTTCACCCTGAATCACTTAAGATTCATCATATTGCCTATTCGTTAATGGTCAGATATGCCTTCATATCAGGTTGAGACGATTCCGTCCCGACTCTCAAAACCGAAGTTTGGAAGTGGGAAAGAAATAATAAAGCAAGATGAAGGGCAAAAGGGTATAACAACTGTCAAGAATGAAGCTGAACCTATGCGAATTCGCCAGGAGCGAAGTGCGTTGTGGGGGCTACACATGGGATAGACACTAAAATGTCGGCGTCTCCTTTATGGTGAAAATGTCAACTGAGGCCTATAAAATATGCAAACATTTAGCTATTATCATTTGGTCAGTTGTACCTAACTTCGAATCGACTAAATGTCTGCGATTTCCAGTAATAATTGTAGGCAAAAGTATTAAGAGCCGACATCCGCTAGGCAACGATCGAGCACCCAACGAAGTCCTATTCAAAACAAATAACTCCATTGATCAAAAATTGAGAGACTACCAGTAGTGGTCGAGCAGATTCCACTTCAAATATCTTCAGATATGCTTGCATTTCTACTTGTTGATTTTTATCTGCTGCTGTAAAAATTGACTGTGTACCTTTGTACAAGCTATCGCGGAGAGATTATGGTCAGTACTTCGCTTTAGATTAAGCAAACGTTCAAGTTATCCATCAAGCCGTGGGCTATACATACAGAATTCATGTATAGCTTGTACCACGATTATACTGTAATATTGTTTTACAATTTCCGAAAAAATCATTATATTCACGTTCTAGCGGCAATGAGGCAAGCTAATAATCAGCTTGCAATCTATTTATAATATGGAAGATGTCATTTAAAGGAAACTCTTACAAAAATCCATGTCTTTGAATACAAAATGGACCTCAGAAATCGACTACGACTATGCCCGGGTGATCCCGGTTAAATAGCAAAATCAAGAAAAATGAAAAGGAGTGGTCAACTGTGGTGAAAATCCCAGCACAAAGTCACCTATCCTGTAATGATCAATCTTTAAAAATGACGATGTCCGACTTCGACGTTGGAGACATAGACACGTAAGTATAAGCTAAGCTTTTTTCAAAATAATTTCTTGTTGCCATGACGTTTTGAATCTCAGTATGCAGCTCGTAGTAATGTATTGGCTCGTATATATTATATGCATTTTGTTTCGCGTGAGAAGAATTTTTCAATAAAAATAAATCCGTTGGCTTTGATTTGCTAGCCTATAATTTTTTCACTAAAAAAAATTCAAATGACGTTTTCTTCTACGAACAACCGTTTAAATCACTTCTTTTACCTATATACCCACTTACCATCTCTTGTCATTTCAACTGAAATCCCCAGATGTGGGTCAAAACAAAAAGACCGATAACGAACGCAGACCCTACCTGGAGATATTAAAATTGATTAAGAATCTCATTCATCAAAATACATTATTAAACCGCATCGAAGAGTCTTACACTACGCTGCTTTGGAGGAATGAATTTACGCTTCTCCATCGTCACTTCCCAGGAGGCCTGGGCATTCTCTTAATTAACTAAAATTAATTCACAATAGCCGTAAATCTCCATACGTGTCTCCGTTAAATGAAAAAAATATTAATTCCAGCGTAGGATGTTTTAGTGTCGGTACAAACCGAAAGCTAATAGAAGCTGTATATTTTATAGTTCACGTAATTATATATATAATTAATGACCTGTTGCTGTATGAAAGGTTAAGGTTGTCTATATGGTTATACGACTGTGGTAGACACTTTCGATAGTGTTTTTTACTCCCCATACTACTACTACCCAGTGTCGGCGATACAATTCGCGAAGTGAAGAGGTGATACTGTCACAGAACTGGCCGATACGACCGCTCCTTTGTCCAGAGCGTGTCAAGATTGTGGAACAATCTGCAAGAGGAAGCTTTTCCCAGTTCTACAAACCTTAGGCAGTTCAAAATTGGATTAACAAAATTACTTTGGGATCATCATAGCAGGCGCCGTAGGCTTCTGCCTCCGCGGCAGGAGCTTGTCAACGCGGTACCATCGACGGCTACGTCGATAGGAGGAAACCGCATCCACTTCACAATACCTCTGAGTAAAGCATCCCACAAACCGGCGCGAAATAATCGCGGCGAAGTATTCGCAACGAAATTCAGAGCGAAATTCGCAATCTGTTTCGCCTGTTTATTCATACCAAAGCGTCTTATTCGCTCCGCGAACGTGAAGGTTTCGACAGGTTGGGTACATTTTATTTTTGCCTTTTGCAATGAGCTCGTCTTCAGAAAAAGAGGAGGCACTTCTATTTCTTGCTTTAGAAGAGGAACAAAATGCACGGTAAGTTATGTTTATTTAACGCCATTTGATAGTTGGGTATGTATTAAGTTTAACGAAGTACATAAAACAAATATTTTCAATTTTGTTTAGGAAACGAAGGAAGTGGGTACATGATATTAACTTGGAACGAAATAAATTTGGGGAGTACCATACCTTGATGCCACAACTTCGGCTGGATGAACAGCGCTTTTACGTATATTTTAGAATGACTCCAGAGTGTTTCGATGAAATATTGAACTTCGTGAAAGATGAAATACGAAAATCTGACACAAATTATCGTGAAGCTATTTCGCCAGAAGAACGACTTGCTATTACACTCAAGTAAAAAAATTATATGTATTAAAATTAGTAGGCTTATCGAATACGAAAACTTCAGGATCGTGAAATAAATATTTTATTGTAAATAATTGGACTACATGTTGCCACTAGGATTAAATGTTGCTAAATAATTCGAGGCAGAATTTGCCTCCTCTGTTGGGTATATTATTGGAGTAAACCCAGTGCCGCTTGGGAAGGAAGACACTACTATCATACATACTTGCAGAATTCTGGGTAGACG